ATCTTCCTGCCTAACCTAACCGTACCGTAACAGCCACAACAGCCCACTGCTGGACATGGGCCTCCCTCTATCGGAGGATATTGCCATACTCACCACGCTTGGCAGGCGGATTGGTGAGCGCAGTTCAGATGTTGCATTTACAAAAAACGCTGCTGCCCGTTCCTCGGATAATTATCCCTTAGTCGCTTTTTACGACACCTACGGGTAGAATTGGGGTGATGTTATTCTAAGCGGGCATCACACGGCGAAATTATAACTTATTATTCTAAAAATAACTCGAACAGATTGCTTGTTATGTAAAATCCGCAAAGTTTCGATCGGTACTAGCTCCAGAACACCTCAATCTCACTAGAATGTTTATAAAAACGCTCACTGCCGCTAACTTCGGAACCCCACTTAAGCGAGTTGTAGCAAACTTCTACATAGGTAAGTTTAAAAGCTTTAAGCGATAACAGAAGCGCTTTAAAGTTTAATATCGATTTTGTTCATCGCGAACACATCAACCTGTCCATTGAAAGGACCAATATTATACTGGTTTTCATACAAATACTGAGAATTAATGCGGCTTAGAATACTGCCACCCCTAGTCCAGTTAGGGTGAATATCTGTCGACTAAATTGTCAATCGCATGGTGGCGTTGATGCCACCTACAATAAAACTCCTAAGGAGGGTAGTTGTCAGGCAGGTCATAAAACATTGCCATCTTGAATTTATGATTTTTCAGTAAGTATAGCCAGTGTCACTCACGCTGCTGAGACCAATCTAACGACACCTTATACAGGGTGTTAAGGACGGTGTACCGAAAACTTCGCAGGCATGATCAGACCATCAAACTGAACAACTTTTACTATGGAGCCAATGGTGGGAAACGAAAAAAAATTTTCGACCTCCCATACAAAGTCAGTCACCTGATCGTGAATTTTGTATGGGAGGCATTCCTTTGGGCTGTAGTCTGTGAAAACTAATTTCTGGACACATTCATACATACATACTCTCGAAAAACATAACTATCCTGAGGCAGTCGAGTAAAAAACTTTATAATAAAACTAATGACACCGACTGTACCTGAAATTGGGACAGGCAGTAGTATGCACTTTATTTTAAGTGTCTTAATGAAGCACTTAAGCTACTTACAAATCTAATTAGCCTGGCGAGACCCTTCATTGAAGACCCTAATCGAATATGTAAGTAGATACCATCAGAACATCTCAAAATATCACTTAAGGCTTTGCTCTTCTTTTCGTGTGGGACAATGAGTCGTCCAACTACTCGATAAACCTAGGTGTCACCGTTAAACATCTACCATCTTTTTGCAATTTCCACCGCAGGCTGGATTTGAACCAGCGACCTTCACCATCTGTACTGGCAACGCCTCTACCAACTGAGCTACAGCAGCTCACTCCAAGCCCGCGAAATTTCCAAGTGTATCTTGACCTGACCACTAACGCGTGGAAGGGCTCCATCTACTGGAATAGTTCTTGCAACTAATTCCCAGCAGTACAGATGGCGAAGGTCGCTGGTACAAGTCCAGCCCGCGGTGGCAAAGTTTGCCATTTTTCCAAAAATTGTATACCTATCACGGGAAGTGTTTTAAAATTTGGGTATTCAATCTACCCACTACTTAGTGGAATACCCCTGACATGGTTGTGTACCGACCGCCGTCTAAGTAATCATAGTCATTATAGGTAACTAGGAAGATAGATACGCTTTTGCAAGCCGGTAAAACCTTGCCTACCCTTTAAGGGAAATCATCGTGATTTTATGTGTGTTTGTAAGAAACACACACAAACCCAAGAACGTGTTGACACACAAACAGCATAATAAATGAAAAGTAAGGATGTCATAACTTTCCATTGCGACCATAATAAATATATTTAAACGACGTCGAACGCATAAAATACATTTGCCCCTCTTTTTGCCCCCTCACCATCCTTCAGAGACAGGGGCGTATTTAGACGATAGAAGACATAATTTGAAGTCTAATGACGGTTTAGAATAACATCAAACTTTTCTCATCCCCGTATCCGCTGAAAAAAATCAAGGTTTTCAAGTGTATTACAATAGGCTGACAACATATCAATACAGCAAAGTTATAGCTCTCCATGGCATTTTAAGCCGTTGGTCTCGGTTGCTTCTATAATTATTTAGATGGCGGTAGTTACACAACCATGTCACAGACCTACAGTAGGTGGTTGAAAAACTCTGACACCAGGATTCATCTGGTCGTTGCACGACTCGGTGTCCCTCATCAAGAGAGAGGGACAGAGATATACAGTTTATGAATTAATGATTTACAAGCATTTGTTATACTTGACGATAACATCGGAGCCAACCGATGTGGCGTAGTAGTTAGTTTATGCGATGCAGAAGGTTCCGGGTTCAATTCCCGGTGGGGTCAATTACAAGGTTGATATTTATCATTTTGTGAATTTGTTCCCTGTCTGGTTAAGACATTGCAGGCCGAACCACCTGATTGTTCGAGAAGCAAGATGGTTCCGTGGTTCGGATGGGCACGTTAAGCCGTCGGTCCCGGTTGCTGTCTATGATGGCGGTCGTTACACAACCATGTCAGAGGCCTGCTACTTGCAATAGGCGGTTGAAAAACTCTGACACCAGGATTCATCGGGTCATTGGACGACTTGGTGTCCCACACGAAGAAGAAGATAACACCCGTGCGACTGTTCACGCTTTACTTAGCTCGTAAGCAAAAGCGTAATACGAAGACTTAATTTCGCACGTCCAACTCCTATTTCCGGTCTGACAGGTTAATGCCAGCTGTCAGAGAAAGCGGCGAGTGCAGTAGAACGTGTGTGTAGCAAATTGCATCTAACTAAATATTATGGTCATATTTTCATTTCAATTTTATAGTTTTTTCTCAATAAAACGTTCTTAGCATTATTGATTTTGTACCTTACTACAATAAAAAAATATCCGAAAAAGAAACGTTACTTTTGAAATATTTAAATTGTCTTCCATAGTTTGAGGTATTACCTCCAAAACTCAAAATGTACCTAGACCGCTTAAAGTATGACAACTAATGCAAAAAAATATTTTATTTTGTGACATTCAGCCACTTGAAAGTCCTCAAGCATATTGCGGCACTTATTTAAGAAAAGTTTTAATAAAAACTACATCACGCCTATACACGCCTCGTAGGGTAAGCAGAGAGTAAGCGGCTATGAAAACGGCCATTTACACCATTGTTGTTGTTCACAAAAATTTCAGAGTTATTCAGAAGACTCTGTGTAACCTTAGAGAAAGTTTGTCAGCCTGTCGCCTAGAATTGCAATACACATCAAATCTCCTTTAGTTGCTTTTTACGACACCCACGGGAAAGTTATGGGGTGATGGTATTCTTAGCCGGCACCACTTTTTATCAAAAATAAGGGCCATATTTGCCTGAGTACGGACCTGTGTAGGACGAAACGTCTCTTATCTTTGGCGATGTCTACATAAAGTCTGAATATACAGGATTTTATCGAAAAGATGGCCAAAGGGAAGTTCGTATTTGAATATCATGGTTCCCTACTTGTAATATTTTAGTCATTATAAGGTGTAAAAAAACTACTTCAAATATTTAAAGGGCGAACCAGCCCATGACACTGAACAACTTTCCCCAAGGACAATTGGTCAAAATATGAATAAAAAAATGGGACTCCCGTACAAAATTGACTCGGTGGGCTATGTAGTATTTTATTCATATTTTTTTCCTAATAGGTTTTCAAACGATATGCAGATGTACCTAAGTCAAAAAGTATTTGCCATTGATATGCAAATTATATTAAATATTTAAACACCACAAAAATAATTTTGGTTTTGCGCATAATTTGAAAAAAACTCTCATTTTCAGCTATAAAGGGAAATGTATGCTACTTTTATCCAATTTGTTGTACTATTGCCAGCAAAAACATCGTCTCATTTAAATTTTGTTTCTCATTAATAGCTGTTAATCCTTTGAATGAGTATATGGATTTGCTAGCGATGGCACCACAATCGTCCCAGAATACATAAGAAAGACACGTACAAAAAGAAATAACAGACTAAATATGATTTTATTCTTCATTTTCTTTTTTATAAAACACAATAAAAAATACTTGTAAAAGATCATGCGTATGCTTCCCAAAAGGGCTTACTTCCTGTCCTATGAACCCTTCAAACCCGGGACTCTAAGTCCTCACAAAGAACACAATCACCTTAAAAGAGAATAGGTTCTTCATTGGAGACCCTTAAACTTCCTAAAAACAAAAAGATCCATCTCATTTTCGTTTTCATAGAAATCTGCACCTCTTACCGAGTACCGTAAGGTCTAAATTCGCGTTGCAGTATCTGCATACTTTGGTGATAAATTGTAATTTTGGGTATATTTTAAGTGATGCTAGTTAAGCGTGCCGAAGTAGATCTACCTATTGATTTTTTCCACTTGGCTTGTATTGGCTTCCCCTAAAAATAGCTTGAAAGCGTAATGAATTTTTAAGCGAGGTTTTAAGAGTGCTTTTAGTCTGACATTTTTTTATTTTTAGTTCTATTATGTATGAAAGTGGGTTAGTGTAAATGTGGAGGCAGATTTTTAATTTAATAGTCCTAAAAGATTTCGCAATACCACAAATCTACGACTATTTTCTATTCTTCATTTATTTTATTATCTAACTAGCGGTCCGTTAGCGGTTTCACCTGCTGCAACTCATTTTCCCGCAGGAAAAATAAATTTTCCGTCCATGTATTATATCCAATACACATTAACCTTTCTCTTGAATCGATCTATCTAGTACAAAAAAGCGCACCATAATCCGTTGCGTAGTACAGGAGTTATGAATTTCACGACAGAGGGAGACGAAATGCGACTTCATTGCATTTATATTGACTAAACAAACAAAGTCACTCCGATCGAGCCACTATACTAGATCCGAAAGAAAGTTCTAAAATACTTCCTACAGATGTCGCTGGATCGTCGCTTGGAGACGAGCATCAAGAGATAGAAAATTTGGCATTCATCAACCGGTGCATTGATAGCTCAGTGGTAGAGCGGTGGGGCGTTTACCCATGCGGCCCGGGTTCGATTCCCGGTCGATGTATGGCATTTTTTCTACTTCTTATTTTCACTTGTGATACTAGATCCGGGCTAGCATAGCTTCATGCATGGCTTAACATGTTAGCTGAAGCACTTAGCCGTTGACAAACAAGGAACAATCTCAGCGAATGATATTGACAAACATCCGCTTTGTGTGATCCCAGAGAATGAAACCAGGAACTTTCTTCAGGCTCTTTGGGAATGCTATTGCAGGTGGTGACAGCCGGTATGGCTAGTATGACTGCCTGCCACGCAGAAGGTTCCGGGTTCAATTCTCGGTGGGGTCACTCACAAAGTTGATATTTATCACTTAGTGAATTTGTTTCCAGTCTGGTTAGGACAGTGAAGGATGAACCACCCGATTGTCCTAAAAGCAAGATGGTTCCGTGCTTCGGATGGGCACGTTAAGCCGTCGGTCCAGGTTGCTGTCTATGATGGCGGTCGTTACACAACCATGTCAGAGGCCTGCTACTTGCAGTAGGCGGTTGAAAAACTCTGACACCAGGGTTCATCGGGTCGTTGAACGACTCGGTGTCCCACACGAAAAGAGAGAGAGCGAGTGATATTGACAAACATCCGCTTTGTGTGATCCCGGAGAATGAAACCAGGCACATTTTTCGGGCTCTTCGGGAATGATATTGTAGGTGGTATCACCGCCATGCGGTTGACCATATCATCATCTTATCATCTTCCTGCCCTTATCCCAATTACTTGGAGTCGGCGCAACAGGTTTTGTTGAACACGAAATCGTGTTGCAAAAGGATTTGGCTTAATTTTACCGGCCGCCTGCCTGACGTCAACCCTCCTTGGGAATGCTTTTGTGGTGGATTAACTGCCACCATACGGTTGGCCCTGGCTGTTTGGGTCGGGTTTATCCCTCGGTCGCCTCTTACGACCCTCACGGGAAGAGAGGGGGTGGTGCTATTCTACTCTGCCGGCACCACACGGCAGTCGACAGATATTCAGCCGAAGTAAAAAACTCTACGTCACCTTTTATGAAACACCCTGACTGGACAAGGGGTAGCAGTATTCTTAGCCGCTACCACACTGCAATGAAATGAAAACGCTACGATGAAAATAATAGAAATGTGGTGTACATCCTTCTTGGTGTAATCCTGGCTGGATGTACACCCACGACGTCATTGCCGTGATGTCACGGTTTTGAATTTCAATTCTGTTTCGATGTTCTGATTATTGATATGACTATCGCTCTTGGAGTAACTTGGTCTTGATATTCTACCGATTGTACTAATAATTTTGTGGCACTAAATATAGCTGTTGAAATAGCCTTCTGGAGTTTAACTGGCCGCTGCCATAGCAGCCTTATAGAAAACGGATACGGATCATCCAATCCGTTTTAGAAATATATTTCGCTTCTTCTTCACCTAGGATGGCAAGTTCCGAGCACGTGCTCGGAACTTGACTGTCGAAGATCTCCTGAGGATGCTCCGTGGAGGAGTGAAACACTTGTAGAGTGTAAATCGGTGGTTGCGGTGTTGGTTTGTTGTATCGCTAGTACATTTGCATTAGGTTGCGATCGTACTGTGGTTCACTCAGCAGCATAACCATCCTAGGTGCGGAAGAAGCTGAATATATTTCTATCATTTTCATCAAGATGGACTTCCGCAATGTAACGCCTGATACTATTAGTTACTTAGAAAACGCTACGTTCTCACAAATCAATCTTCGTTCCGGGCAGACAGTTTCATTGAGAGGTTGTTTTGAGGAGTTCCACTTAAACTTTTACCGCTTTTGATTGTTCAAACGAACTTTGCAAGTCGTACACTCATAGACCCACTACCGATAGAACCCTTTGGGTCTAAATGTTACCTACATATATCATGCAGGGATCCCTTGCAGGAAAAGCAAAGGGTAAACAAAGGCTGTAAAACCGGCCATTTGCACCACGTCTGACAGAAGTTTGAGAATCATTCAGAGTACTATGTATCACCATAGTAACAGGTTGTCAGCCTGTCGCCTAAAATTGCAATACACATCAACTCCTAAATTTTTTAGTCGCTTCTTACGAAACCCAAAGAAAATATATGGGGTGATGCTACTTAGACGTGGTGTAAGTGGCCGTATTGTACAGCCGTTTACGGTCTGCGTTCCCCGTAAGGGATATAGGCGTGGTATAATTATGTATGTATGTGTAACTGGACCCACTAGGTCTAATAAGCGGACGACTCAACTTGGCCGCGAACCGGAAGTGAGTTCAACAGTTTCCGGAAGTCGCTACAGTCGGTCGTACAGTTTCGTTACAACTTTTTATTATTTTCAACTATTTAAGCAGTGACTACTAGGAATTGAAATGAATTGAACGTTTTTGCTGGGAAGTCGGAAAATGTGTTTGGAAACTAAAATTGGATGTCTGCACGTGAAATATTGTTTGACACTTTGCCGAATTTTTCGTGCATTTCAATTTTTTATTCAAGTTTGCGTGCTTTTTCAATTTTTTAATGAATTCTGAGCCCAGTGATGTTTGGGATCATGCATAATACTAGCATTATTTCCATTTACTAATAAGTTTTGAAATAGGTCCTCCAGTAATTTATATCCGAGATCAACCTTTACTACAGGAAAAGTTTGTATGTATAAGACATGGAATGTCTCTATTTCCTGCGGGAAAATGAGTTGCATTAGGTGAGAATTACGGGCCAGAAGTTTTCTTTAAAGGGTTGAAAACCAAATTGATACCCTCATTGCCTATACCAAATACAGTTTTCGTTTTGCAACATCGATAACGAAACAAAAATAAAAGAACTATCGATTGTTTGACAGCACATGTCACTTTGAATGGAATTATCCTGTCACTGGACATAGATAAAGCCGAGTAGACAGTAGGGAAACTTGGATCGGAAAAAGTTTCAATCGTGTCGTAATAAAATATTGCATAAATGCGTGCGGGACATTTTTCAATATTTTTACGGCATCCTTTATCGATACTACACTTAAATCTGAAGCTAATAGCACACATTTAGGTAAATTAACACTTTGTGTTGTTTTAAGACGTAGTGGTTATAAATTTAGAATTTTCATAAAAAGACGACGCATAAAAATGGAAATATTTACATATTCATAAAATTAGTATCTAATGCGAAAGTAGGCTGGTCTTACCATTTTCAATGATTTGTAAGAAATAGTTAGACGCATAGTTCTATAAGAACAAAATAAGTTTTAAATAAAAGTATCCCATAAAAAGTTACTGATGAAAGATCGTTATCTGGATAGCATAACAAATTTTACAAATTTTTGAACAGATTTGTTACCTATTTTTAAATATGAAAGCACTTTATTACTAAGCGTCTGTTTATTTCTAAGTCATTCAAAACACAATTATGTCCAGAAACAAATCAGGACCCAGATCATAGATTTCGTCCTTTGCGTAAGGTAGACGTGATTTCCCACTGGACATGCCGGCTTGATTACTTATACTGTGTGCTAACTCGTCAGTACAAAGCTATACTGCAGAGGGAACACTGCAAAAACCAGGATGAAGTTGTGGAAACTCGTCGCTGGCAGTTTGATGGGCACAATTATAGGCAGAAGAACAAAAAGCGGTTTAAACTATGTCATTCAAAACACAATTATGTCTCGACCCAAATCAGGACACAGATCACAGACTTTGTCCTTTGCGTAAGGCAGACGTGATTTCCCAGTGGGCATGCCGGCTTGATTACTTACACTGTGTGCTAACTCGTCAGAGCAAAGTGATACTGCAGAGGGACCACTGTAATAACCTTGTAATAAAAAAAATTAAAAACACGCCTGCTTTTGTGGAAAAACGATTTTCCTATACAAAACATAGCCTATGACGATCGGGATAATGTAAGGATTCTTCTCACAGAATTTCCAATCAAATCTGTTCAGTAGTTAAAGAGTTACAGTGGTTTAAGAAACGCACATACAAACATAGATGAACAATAAAAACAAAATTTTACTCTCCTTTTTTGTGGGCAGTCGTGTAAAAAACAGGATGAAGCTCGTCGCTGACAGTTTAATGGGTACAACTGAAGGCATAATAACAAAAAACGCTACTTTGGAGAAGCATACGAGCACTTTTTAATTTCCAATCCGAATGCTACCAGATTTTAAGTATTGGATCGTTCGTTGACCTGATGTCTTATTTGACAAAAGAAAAAAACTGGTGCGTGTTTTTCTACAATAAGTTACGTGTTTACAAAATTCCCATTGTGAAGAGTTTTTATTGACTTTACCCTGACGTTACGTAATCCCACTGAAGTTTTCACGAGTTCTGTGCGTTTTCGCAAACAATAGACTCGATATTGGATCATCTGAAACGCTATTACAGGTCTTTTTGTGATTGCGATGACTTTTTAAAGACTTCACTCTGATGTATTCGTTGTCACTCTGAAGTTTTTACTAGCTCTGTCCGTCGTTGCAAACAATGGACTCGAAATTCAATCATCACGAACGCTAGGTATTACAGGACTTTTTGTGATTGAGATGACTTCATCATAGCTTCACAATGATGTTTACATTGTCCGTCTGATGCTTTTACTAGGTCTGCGCGGCGTCGCAAACAATGGACTCGATATTGGATCATCACGAACGCTATTACAGGAGTTTTTGTGATTGAGATAACTTCTTCATGGCTTCACAATGATGTTTACATTGTCCTTCTGAAGCTTTTACTGTGCGTCGTCGCAATCACTGGACTACATATTGGATCATTGCGAACGCTAATACAAGACTTTTTGTAATCGGCATGACTTATTCATGGCTTCACTCTGATGTTTTCATTGTCCCTCTGAAGTTTTTACTAGCTCTGTGCGTCGTCGCAAACAATGGACTCGATATTGGATCATCACGAACGCTATTACAGGAGTTTTTATTGGAAAACTTCACGAACAAATTCAACGGAGTTTTGGCGGTAGATAAAAAAATTCCAACTGTCATTTTCGACAATCTAAACTTGGCTGAGATTATGCAGGGTGAATTATTCAAGGTAGGAATCGGTTTTGTTCATAAAGATCATTAACT